AAAAAAAAAAAAAAAAAAAAAAACCCGCATGAGAAGGCAGACCAGGGCTGAAGCAGGGGCCCCGGGACACAGGAGCCCAGATTCCCTATCCTCTGCTCTCCCAATCTGTACTGGATGGCTTTCTTCATACTTGTAAGACAGCTGCCGAAACCTTGGACACTCCATCTGCTCAAGGCAGGCGGAAGGGTAAAAGCAACAGGCAAAAGGCAGAGGCCAACCAAGTGTGCGCTCTCTTTTTCTTTTTTTTTTTTTTGAGACAGTCTTGCTCTGTGGTGCAGGCTAAAGTGCAGTAGGGCAATCTTGGCTTACCGTGACCTCTGACTCCCAGGTTAAAGCAATTATCCTGCCTCAGCCTCCTGAGTAGTTGGGATTATAGGTATGCACCACCACGCCCAGCTAATTTTTGTATTTTTAGTAGAGATGGGGTTTCACCACGTTGTCCAGGATAGTCTTGATCTCCTGACCTTGTGATCCATCGGCCTTGGCCTCCCAAAGTGCCGGGATTATAGGCGTGAGCCATCATGCCTGGCCAAGTGTGCCCCTTTCAAGGACCACAGCTGGGGAAGTCATGCTGGCAAACCTGCAAGCAAAGGGGTCTGGGAAGGTATATAATTTATCTGGGCCCCAAGTGCACCAAGCAAAACCGAACCGCATGAAGAAGGACGCTGTGAAGAGTGGAGATGGGTGGGCAGCTAGCAGTCTCTGGCACAGGCATCACATCCAAAGCCAGATTCCAGTAACAAGCTCTCGGTGAAAAGGATACTGGGACATGCCTCGGCAACTCCTCCTTTCTCACCAGCACAACTTACTGCACAGTTCCTCAGAGAAACTTCTTGCAACTTGCTCAGCTGACTGCATGAAAAACAGAGTTCACATGGATACATAAGCATGTATGCTATCCACTGGACCTTTAAAAAATTAAACAGCATTTCAGACATAGAAAAGGGCGCCAAAAATAATACACAAATACCAGTAACTGCCACCCAAATTAAGAAATAAAGCATTACAAAAAAGATAAAAAGAGCACTACAAACATTACAAATGCAGCTGAAGTCCTCTGGGTCTCTCTCCGTAACACAATTCTCCCTCTACTCCCCAGGGGTTACTTTTTTCTTTTTTTTAAGATGGAATCTCGCTGTGTTGCCTAGGCTAGAGTACAGTGGCACGATCTCGGCTCACTGTAACCTCTGCCTCCCAGGTTCAGGCGATTTTCCTGCCTCAGCCTCCGGAGTAGCTGGGTATACAGATGTGCATCACCATGCCTGGCTAATTTTTGTACTTTTAGTAGAGAAGGGGTTTCACCATGTTGGCCAGGCTGTTCTTGAACTCCTGACCTCAAGAGATCCATCCACCTCAGTCTCCCAAAGTGCTGGGATTACAGGCATAAGCCACCATGCCCGGCCTTCCCCAGGGGTAACCTTCTACTACATTTGATGTTTATTTAATCTTAAGCATTTCTTAATATTTTTGCCATATATTTCCTTATCCCTAAACAAGTATAGCATTTTTGAATATTCTGAAACTTGATATAAACGGCATTCTACTCTGCAGAGCCTTCTGCAGCTGACCTTTTCCTCAACAGTCTATTGTTCAGTGGCGAGGTCTCGCTACGGTGACACATGGCACTCCAGAACATTCCTCTTCACACCTTACAGTGTTTGTTATAGAAACAGACCGCAGTGAATGGAGATACCCTTCTGGCATCTATGCACGTAGTGCAGAAGTACACGCTACGGAGTGCTTCTTACGCTCGCACGTAAAAGCCTCTCGAAGGTACTTCCTGGAGAGTGCCCGCTTCAGCATTACCAGATACTTCTGGCAGCCATTTGTTACATATAGAGAATCTGTGTTTTCTATTCATGAAAAGGATCCAGCTGGGTGCGGTGGCTCATGCCTGTAATCCCAGTACTTTGGGAGGCCGAGGTGGGTGGATCACAAGGTCAGGACTTCAAGACCATCCTGGCCAACATGGTGAAAATCCTGTCTCTACTAAAAATACAAAAATTAGCTGGGCATGGTGGCATGTGTCTGTAGTCCCAGCTACTCATGAAGCTGAGGCAGGAGAATCACTTGGACCGGAAGGTAGAGGTTGCAGTGAGCTGAGATCACACCACTGCACTCCAGCCTGGGCAACAGAGCAAGACTCCATCTCAAAAAAAAAAGAATCCACATATATACCAGACTACCTGGGTTCAAATCCTAATTCCACCATCTCCTTTGGCTTTGGGCAAGTGATTAACAACTCTGTACCTCAGACTTCCTATCTTTAAAAGGCTGCGGTATATGCAGAAGTTCACAGCAGCATTATTCCTCAGTCAAGAGGTGGAAGCAACCCGTGTCCATACTGTCCATCAACAAATCAAAGGACAAACAAAACGCGGCATGCATATACAACGCAATATTGTGTGAACTTAACAAAAAGGAAGGAAATTCTGACACACGCACAATGTGGATGAACCTTGAGTTTATTATGCTAGGTGACATAAGCCAGTCACAAAAGAACAAATACTTATGTGAGGTTCCAGAGTAGTCAAATTCATAGCGACAGAAAGTAGATTGGAGGTTGCCCGGGGCTAACGGGAGAAGAAATTAGTAGTTAGTGTTTCAATAGACATAGAGTTTCAGTTTGGGATGATGAAAAAGTTCCAGGCTAGGCGCAGTGGTTCACACCTGTAATCCCAGTACTTGGGGAGGCCAAGGTGGGCAGATCACAAGGTGAGGAGTTCGAGACCAGCCTGACCAACATGGTGAAACCCCTTCTCCACCAAAAATACAAAAACCAGCCAGGCATGGTGACGCACACCTGTAATCCCAGCTACTCAGGAGGCTGAGGCAGGAGAATCATTTGAACCCAGGAAGTGGAGGCTGCAGTGAGCCGAGATCATGCTATTGCACTGCAGGCTGGGCAACAGGGAGAGACTCCGACTCAAAAAGTAAAATACAGTTCTGGACACTGGTTATACAACATTATGAATATAGTTAACACTAACTGTTAATTACAAATGGTTATGATAGGGATATCCGGCTCCAGGCTCCCCTCCCACAACAGCATGGGAACTGTCTCTCTCGCTTTCTAATAAATCGCTCTCCAGCAAAAAAAAAAAAAAAAAAGGTTATAAATGTTATGTGTATTTTACTACAAATTTTTAAATGCTAAAATAATATTGGCCAGTTAATATTTGTGCAGCTCTCAGAAGACTGTCTCACATACTGTAATTCACTTGATAAGTATTTATAAAAATATAACCGGGCTAGGTGCAGTGGCTCACACCTGTAATCTCAATACTTTGGGAGGATGAGGTGAGCAGATCACTTGAGGCCAGGAGTTTGGGACCAGCCTGGCTCACATAGTAAAACCTGATCTCTACAGAAAAAGATACAAAAATTAGCTGGGTGTGGTGGTGCACACCTGTAGTCCCAGCTGCTTGAGAGGCTAAGGCAGGAGAATCACTTGAACCTTGGAGGTGGAGGTTGCAGTGAGGCAAGATTGTGCCACTGCACTCCAGCCTGGGTGACAGAATGATACTGTCTCAAAAAATAAAAAAAATTTTAAAACCTACCAACATTTGAGAAACACCAAGATGAAAATGCAAGGCATGAATTATTACAATCATGAAAAACTAGGGTCCAAAAGGCATGATACCGTCTCAAAAAATAAAAAAAAATTTTAAAACCTAACAACATTTGGGAGAAACACCAAGATGAAAATGCAAGGCATGAATTATTACAATCATGAAAAACTAGAGTACAAAAGGCAGCAGCAGAATTCATAGGTAGAGGGTCCCAAACTTTCTCAGGCCACAAGACCATTGGGGTTTCAGTAATTTTTTCATGGTACTTAGGCCAATTACCTCACAGTTCCAATTAAGTATGTAGTTAGGGCAAAACAACTTAATCATTACTTATGTCCTATTAACTCAGTGTCTGCTGGGCACTGCTCAACTTCCCACACCCTGGCATCAGACTGGACGCCACCAACTCCATTTCCTGTTCCACACTGATTTAAGAGATACTTGCTTTGTTGTAAAGCAAATATTTTTATTGATGCATGATAGATGTACATAAATAAATGCATTTTATTGCAGCAATCACCCAGAAGCCAGCTTTGTAGGCATATGACATCCCAGAAAAGAACTACAGGCATCTCACGGAACTGCTTCAAACTGTAGTTTTCAGTATGTCCAACAGATGTCGCTCCTTTCCTCTAAAATTCAAAATTGCCTGCCTTGCCAGGACAACTTGACACTAAGCGTGGGGACTCAGATCTCAATCCAAGCATCACTCCAGAGCCAAAGTCATCTCCAGGAGAAGCCATACATAATGGTTTTTTTTTTTTTTAATTTGTTTTTGATTCCTTTATTGAATGTCTTCTCTTACTGATATAATCTCAAAAATGCTGGATTTTATTGAGGAGATAAGACAATGGCTTAAAGTAGAGGTTTCAACTCCTAACAATGACAGCTAACATCAATTGCAGGATCTCATTTGTTATTCACGACAGCACTTGTATCTTAGGTTTTATGTTGTAATTGAAGAATCTGAGGCTTAGAAACAATAAGTAGCCACCTCTGACTTCTGTCAGTCAAAGGTGCCTCAGCTGGCGTTTTAACCCAGCCTAACTCCAACAGTGGCGACATTCTACCAAGCTGTCTCACTATTTACTAAGCTCCAGCCAACATACGAGATTGCTCCAGAATCTCTAAAATTTTATCTTTTCAATCAAGAAAGGCACTAGCTAATTATTAAACGCAACGATACCCAAAACGTGGGATCATTTACAGAAAAATTCATGAATTACGTAGTCCTTCATAAACTAGGGGATGAAAATCTGTTTTCAATTTGTCAATATTCTTAGAGCCTGGCCGAGCGCGGTGGCTCACGCCTGTAATCCCAGCACTTTGGGAGGCCGAGGAGGCGGATCACAAGGTCAAGAAATTGAGACCATCCTGGCCAACGTGGTGAAACCATGTCTCTACTAAAATACAAAAATTGGCTGGGCGTGATGGTGCGCACCTGTAGTCCCAGTTACTCGAAGGCTGAGGCAGGAGAATTGCTTGAACCCGGGGGGCGGAGGTTGCAGTGAGCCAAGATCACACCACTGCACTCCAGCCTGGCGCTTGGTGACAGAGTGAGACTCTGTCTAAAAATATATATATATTCTTAGAGCCTATAATATTCTCTAAAAGAAATTAGCCAATTAAAAAAAATTCTTCTTTTGGATAAGAGATATTTAAATATTTGGTGTCTTTTTGTTTGTTCATCTGTTGAGACAAGGTCTCAATATGTCACCCGGGCTGGAGTGCAGTGGTACAATCATGGCTCACTGTAGCCTTGACCTCCAGGGTTCAGGAGATCTTGCCACCTCAGCCTCCCAAATAGCTGGGACTACAGGCATGCACTACCACACCTAGCTAATTTTTGTATGTATATATGTATGTATGTATTTATTTGTAGAGATAGGGTTTTGCCATGTTGCCCAGGCTATTTGTATTTTAAATGGGAAAAAATATCTTGCACTAATAACAGTAAAAAATAAAAAATAAAGGGAAGAACTCTAACCCTATGAAGCATATAGTTCTTTAATTCCAAGTAAATCAGTAGGATAAACAGTAAAAACTGTTCATGATAGGTTTTTTTTGTTTTTGTTTTGAGACAGAGTCTCATTCTATCACCCAGGCTGGAGTGGAGCGCCACGATCTTGGCTCACTGCAACGTCCGCCTCCCAGGATCAAACAATTCTCCTGCCTCAGCCTCCCAAGCAGCTGGGACTACAGGCGTGTACCACCACACCCAGCTAATTTTTTGTGTTTTTAGTAGAGACAGGGTTCCACAATGTTGGCCAGACTAGTCTCAAATTCTCGGTTTTAAATGATCCTCCGACCATGGCCTCCAGAAGTGCTAAGATTACAGGCGTGAGCCACTGCACCCAGCCCATTCATGATACTTAAGTGGTGGCATTAGTCATGATACTTTTTTGTTCAATTTGTAATTTCTATATTATCAACAATAAACGTATTTTCTTTTATAATTAAAGGAAGTCCATTTGTTCCTTTAAAACTCCTGATTTATTCTGAGATTTTTTTTTTTTCCAGACAGAGTCTTGTTCTGTCATTCAGGCTGGAGTGCAATGGCACAATCTCGGCTCACTGCAACCTCTGCCTCCCAGGTTCAAGCAATTCTCCTGCCTCAGCCTCCCTCCAAAGCACTGGGATTACAGGCGCCCACCACCATGCCCGGCTAATTTTTAATATTTTTAGTAGATGAGGTTTCACCATGTTGGCCAGGCTGATCTCAAATTGCTGACCTTGTGATCCACCCGCCTCAGCTTCCCAAAGTGCTGGGATTACAGGCGTGAGCCACTGTGCCCAGTTGAGATTTTTTTTAACAGGTGCCATGTATCTTAAAGAGTAGAGGTGCTAAGAAATGTATTTATTTTACTTTCAACATTGTCCTCATATGCACTTTTATTAATAACAACAATAACAAAAGATAGCAAAGAAATTTACTTTGGAAAAAACTATAGCTTAATTCTGTTTTTGTTTTTGTTTTTTTAAAGACGTGGTTTCACCATGTTGGTTAGGCTGGTCTTGAACTCCCAACCTCAGGTGATCTGCCTGCCTTGGCCTCCAGAGTGCTTGGATTACAGGCGTGAGCCACTACTCCCGGCCAATTCTTTTAGAGACTGAAAGAAAATATATTGCAGGCCTACAAGAGGCCTAAATTTATTCTCACAGTGGCCACCAGGGGTCCTCACCCAGCTACGTCATCGAAGTCACCACAGTAAGCTGCAAGGCCTGGCCAGTTCTTGTGCAGCCAGGCTGGTTTTGTGTAAATATTAACTTCCTCTCTCTTTGATTCAAGCAGTTCACAGAATGACTGGTAAGCCTCCTTGTACAATGTCACAATATATAGTTTCAGAGAAAAGAGAATGTTCTCATGCAGCAGTTTTAAAATGCATTATTTTAAGGCCGGGTGCAGTGACTCACACCTGTAATCCCAGTGCTTTGGGAAGCCAAGGCGGGAGGATCACTTGAGCCCAAGAGTTCAAGACCAGCCTGGGCAATAGAGCAAGATCCTGTCTGTATAAAAATAAAAATAGGCCAGGCACGGTGGCTCATGCCTGTAATCCCAGCACTTTGGGGAGGCTGAGGCGGAAGGATCAAGAGGTCAGGAGTTCAAGACCAGACTGGCCAACATGGTGAAACCCCATCTCTACTAAAAAATACAAAAATTAGCTGGGCATGGTGGCTCGTGCCTGTAATCCCAGCTACTTGGGAGGCTGAGGTTGGAGAACTGCTTGAACTGGGACCCAGGAGGCAGAAGTTGCAGTAAGTGGAGATTGCATGACTGCACTCCTGCCTGGGCTACAGAGCGAGAATCCATCTCAAAAAAAAGAAAGAAAGAAAAATTCAAAAAAATAAGGCCGGGCGCGGTGGCTCAAGCCTGTAATCCCAGCACTTTGGGAGGCCGAGGCGGGTGGATCACGAGGTCAAGAGATCGAGACCA